ACATTCTGACCAATGGTGTATTGATTCAGTAAAGCACATAATTGAATTCGTGATTCAATTTTAGTATGGCGTTTACTTGCAACATTTGCTGAATATGAAATTAAATAGATGATGAAGAGCAAATCCCAAGCATTTTGCAATTGAAACTCACCATGCTCACCTTAATGGTGTATTATCATGAAAATAGTTTCACTTGGGCCCAAAACCTCGTGCCACACACTCAACTCCAATGACACTCCCATGAGCATTTTCCAGCAAGGTTTTTCCCACACACACACGGCGAATAAATTGCCATGTGATTTCTCTCAAGTTAAAAATTGGTGTTATTCTTTGATGAAATATTATCAGGGAAATATTTCATTTTGATGAGCGCTGGCAAAGTTCTGGTGGAAAATTGATTTCGCTGCTCTCACGTCATCTTCATTTTGGTTAAAGTTTGAAATTGAAATATTCCACGAGGATGCATTTCGTACTGAATTCCCAGTGTGATTTATAGGAGAATATTTCAAATATTTCACATAATTTACCTATAGCAGATTTTGCAACGAGAATTTCTATCACTTTAGCAGTGATATTAGAAATTTATAATCTAAATTGATTTTACAATTTAATTGCCAAAGCTCTGTGGCAGTTTGCTGTGTTGAAAAATTAGGCAAATGGGCAATAATGGGCAGTAATCAATACACGGGCTGACCATTGGTGTTGAAAATGTAGTGAAACTTTATCGTGTTCAATCAGAATTCAATCATTCGTGCAACTGCAGCGTATTTTGCAAGACTAACACTAGAGCATTGTGCGCCTATTTGTTGGACAAATTATATATATATGTATGACAAACTTATTGATTAACGCATGATGCGGAATATTTGCCTCGATTGTTCAATCTAAATTTTAATTAGGACAATAAATTCACCTCACAAATTCAGTGTGATGAACAGAATTCAATGGGCTGATATACACACCGTCATTCCCATCTCAAATATCCCCTAGTTCGCGTTGTTTTTCCACGTTTTTGCGCGGAGCGGCGTGACGAGGAAGCGCTTTCCCGGGGAAGATTATGGAGCACACACGTGTATGTGCGATGAAGAGTTATCTCTGGTGTGGAACGTGGTGTGAATAAATTGCCGAGACGGTGCGTATTCCACTTGAAATCTTAGCACGAAGTCATTTTCATGAAATTTCTGTCCGGCACAATTTAATTTATGATTAATTTCTCTACTCTGAGCGCGTTGGGAAAGAATTCTGCCCATCACACATTTCTCCCACACGAAGACATTTTCAAAACTCTATCGAGGGGTTGCAAATGTCACTTGGTTCGGAATGTAATTTAGATTTTTTTCAAAGAAACAGACGAAGCCATAAAGAACTTGAATTCCATGCAAATGCCTCAAAATTTCATGTCGACAAAGAAATGAAACGACATTGAAGATATTTCGGTGTTGAATTAACCGAAAAGCTTAAAATAAGAGTTGAATAAGTGTCAATTCATCAATGTTTATCCCAAATTAGTGATTCTGATGAGCTTAGAATGTGTTTTCCTGTGAAAAATGAGAGTTATAATGTTGAATTTGAATTTAAAAAGTCTTCGTAGATAGTTTTAAACTTGATCAGCTGAGAAAGCTTAAAAACTTTATTTTCGCGCTCAAATTCCTCAAATTTTCGCACTCAAATCAAGCTTTATTCTTTTTAGACTAATTAATAGTGGAAAAAAAAGTCTTCAAGTCTCACCTTGTGCGAAGCCATTAAGGCAATAGTGAAGCTAATAAAGCGATATGACCTGTAACCCCCAAAGCACGTAAGTTGCAAGAAGTTCAGAGTCAACTTTCACTTCCGCACACGAAAGCTCAAAGTAGATTATTAATACACTAGTTGGCTCACCTAAATCCCGACCGAAAACCACTTTGTTGTCTCCTTTCGAAGGCGCCGAGGGCGATGGAGAAAAGGGTTTTCCTCCCGCACTGCAATTCATTCCGTTGGTGTGGCAAAAGAAGGCACGGGAAAAGAGATGTGAAATGGTTGAAAATATGGGGTGTGTATTTGTTTGGGGGGGGAGAGGGTGAGAAGTGGGGAGCCATGTCGAGCGTTGGTAGTAGTTGTTTCACATATATTTTCATCCCATTAACAAGGACTTATTTTAAAGTGCCTCCCATTTAATATTACATGAAGTATCATCTAAGTCTCCGGGTATAAGTTCCTTCGAGGGTGGAAGAATCCTCCTTCAATCTCCTTAGGCAACAAAGTGTTTTAGAATGAGCGGAGGGGCTGAAAAGTGTGTGTGTGTGTCTGTGCCTTTCTTTTCAGCCAAGGGATGAGATGAAAATTGATGCTCCTGTGTACCTTTATCACTTTTACTTTTGCACCACATCCAGGGGCTTCGGAATCATTGGGTCCTCTCGAGCACACCACCCTACATCACCACCCTCCTGTGCCTCCGCAACCACGCATTAGAGATTGTTGCTCCCCAGAGTTGTTCTATCTCTCCTTGAGGTGTGCGCCATGCAAATGTACACGCTACATGGCAGGGATGCTCATCGCCCCTGCTGTGGCTTTTGGCGGCGGAAGGGGCGAGTTTTAGGTGTGGATAAAGACAGCGAGGGTGAGAGTCTCTCAACAAACCACTTTACCATTAGCGCTATACCAAAAACTCATGTACCATTTTAACTGTTATTAGTGAACCAGCTGCTGGCTTCACATTCATAAAGCTCCATGCGGTTAAATGTCTTCTATTCCATCCACCCCGACTTGCGCGCGCTCTCTTTCGCGCCAGCACGGGCTGAAAATTGGATGAATTACAACCCCAAATTTTGGGCACCATCAATGTGCCACGAGATAATAGGGAAGATTGCGATTATGACTCGGCGATAGATTTATTTTCGCTTCGCCCCTCCACTTCAGGAGCCATACAATTGCCTGAGATATTATTAAAATTGAGTTAGAGTCCATTTTACTGGTATACAACACTCCTAATCTCTCATTTCCGACCAAATTGCCTCCATCCCTCAACTGCTGCACTCTCGGGGATTATCAAAATGTTTACGATATGCTTTCGTACACTTTAAAATATTCCCCCCAACTCTGATGGGCAAAAGTCACCTCTTGCAAATGACACATTCGGAGTCACGCCAGTGCCTCGTTTTAATGCAAATTTACAATGGAAAAATAGTCAATATTCACACCATGGCAATGCAAATATTATACTCTGGCTATTATCCGATTGGATTAAATGTTTTACAAATATTATTTAATTTGCAAATGCGAAATAATGTGAAAATGATATTTTGATGTAGAGAAAATTCTCATTTTGTGGTTAAAATAAATTGTGCCAAAAACCCTCTAATCAATGGTTAATTGATATGTATAATGAAGGTACATCAGAGTGGATTTTTAGCCAAACAGAGTGCATTTATAAATATTTAGTCCATATTAATCCATGCCATAAACAGATGTTTTTTATCTGTCAATTTTCATCTGAAAAGTGTAAAATCTATATATAGACAAAGTGCAAGTTAATGTATGAAATTGAATACCAAACATTCGAATTGAATTCATTTATAACAGTGTGAAATCAATTGAAGTGTTTCAACGGTAGCAATTAAGGTGGAAACAATGAAAAACTTTCACGTAAATTGAATTTCGATTTATCGACTTGGGAATCTCTCAACGATTTTCCGCGAAAATATATTTGTTTCCAAATAAATTCTCTTCTCTCTCTCTGGTTAAGTGAATAAATTTCACGTGAATTAAGGATTGTCACAGATGAAAAAACAATATGTAGAGTTTATGTAAACAAATCAATACTTTATCCGAAGGTATTGATTTATCAAGGGGGAGATAATATGGTTGAAATATGTACGTCACTTCTTGACACTTCCAAAATTTGTATGAAAAGTCTTTAGACACTTCTTAGAACCACTCTTTCAATAGAACGATTTATTGAGACTAGAATTAGCGATATTCTGCCAAATATGATGATATTTTTGGTTTCACGACTGAAAATTGACTGAAAACTAACCAAAATCTAATTCACAATTTTATAACCGAGTTTTTCAGGCAACTTTTAATGATTTTCTTCCTCTAATTGCCTTGTTGAGACTGTGAGCGGCTTCTGAACATGAATCTGTCTATGTTCAGCGCAATAATTTTGTATTTAAACACAGTTTTTAGTCATAAATGAGTCGCATAACCTAGAAAAATATGATTAAATGTAGTTTTGTATAAGAATACATTTCTGTGAGTGTAAAAATAATTAGAAAATCAAAGTAATAAACTATTAAACTTCAAGGCAAAAATTGCAATGAAATTATTGTGCATTTTGACTTCTTCTTCTGCTACACATAAATTAGCAATATAATTTAAAAAACATGTAATAAGTTTTTTGCTTGTGGTATGAAAAATTTCTCAGAGCATTAATTAATCTTGTGGGGATATTAAAAAGGGCCCAGTATGGTAAATGTGTGGTGCTTTTTTATCTTCATTGCTGATTTCTGTACTTCTCTGGCATACTTTTACTCTTCACCATTTGCCATGTGCAATAAATAAGCGATATTAAAAGTCGCCCAGCGTAAAATTTCCGTGGGAGCATTTGTCATAAATCTCATCCTCGTTCCCTGGGAATCCCTGAGAAACACAAATTGTGGCACTTTTCACTGTACTATATATGGCTGGGAAATATTTCACTGTTTTCGCATACTTTAGAGAGTCCTTCTGGGATGCCTGCACATGTCCTTATTATGGAGATATCATGTTTTTTTTTTGCCTGGAATGCAACAAACACGAAACTATTTCACTGAATAATTGTGTACTTTACGTGCTCAACCGAAGTATCTCCTGTGGGTTGATGTGATTTTGACTTCCAACTCCGCCGTGAGACGGATGTGTGGGAATTAATCTCATTTGCTGTCGGAAAGTGACGTGACAACGAGGATACGCTGTGCAGGGGGAAAAAAAAGTCCTGCTGTCAGAGCAGCATTCTCACAATTCTTTCTCTGTCTTTCTTTCAGCTACGATGTCCGCGGCAGGCCTTTGACCAAAGCTCTCTACTGGTCAGATACAAATTCCTTTGGCCCTCGAGCATATTTTGTCACAGTCTCCAACCCAGCCGGCCTCAGTGTAGACAACGTCCAGCTCGACGACGAAGGGGTGAGTCCTTTATAATATTTCACTGATATGAGAGACTAAGGACATGTTCCGAATACAATCTCACACACATTTCCTCATGTTCACACTCCTCAGGTTTATCGATGTCGAGTGGACTTTCAGAATTCACCCACGAGAAATCATCGAATAAATCTCACGGTGATAGGTGAGTGTTTAAACTAAGGACAATGTAATATTTCCCTGCTTCCCACGAGTCAGATAAATAATTTGCTGTCCTTCCTAGTGAATATTTGATGCATAATTTACTGTCAGTTTTCCACTGGGGAAAAAGTGGTAAAGTTGTACGAAATAGAAGCTGATTAAAAATTACCATTGCATGAAATATAATTCAAATTTCCCAAAATGACACTCTGAATTGCAGATATTGGACAGTGTAGGAAGTGTGGGAAAAAAAATTTTAATTGATTCATTTTAATATTTTTGCAAAATCACTATATGGAAAAATGGGAGAGTTGGAAAATGTGCAAAAGGCAGATAAAGTGCATGAATAATGGCTGATTATGAGGGATTTATAAATTGTGATCGCGATCGATCAGCTTAAAGCTTCATCCTTAATGCTTTCTGACCAACCAAAATGATTTACTGTCCATAATCTCCATTTACTATACTTTCCCACTGCAAGGAGGGATTTACTATCAGTTCGACCATAAATAAGTCACATGCACAATCTCAAATTAAATTTGTTAATTAGTATTAAATCAATGTCGAATGTAAGCATATCTGCACGGGTGGGTGGATCTCAAGGGGAGGTGCGTGCGTAGGATTCTGCTTGTGTGGCATGAGTGCCGAAATGGGGGATTTATTGGTGTCGAAATTGAGTTAATGCCTTGGGTGCTGCTGGGGCGGGACTGACAAGAAGCCACCAAGTCCAAAATCCTTCGCTGTCAAATACCATTCAACCATTTCGACAAGTTGTGACTAATTCAATTATCTTTTCATACTAAATCACCCAACACACGTCTTGAGGAGCTCCACGAGAGAGTTCAACTCAATTTACCATCACTCTTTTGCCAGCATCTCGTTTTGTCTCAAGTCCTCAAGCTTCCCCACGTGGTGAGAATTTAAAACCGTCGAGAGGCGACACTTTTGAACAAAAAATGCGAGAATTCAAGGGGAAGATAGTAAGCTTAAAATCTGTACACCACTTTCTAACACACCCAGAACATGAAATTTTTGGACTGTTTGCAAAATATTCTTAAAATATAATGAATCTCTTCAGTTTCTATCCAATATTTATGTAAAAATCCATTTAAGAGCTCTTTTTTAAATATCCTTTCGACCATAACCTAAAATTATTACCAAAACATCTTTGAAAACTTTCTTTAAAAGATTTCTAGATCTCAAAATATCAATACAAATTAACTGAAAATTTGTAATTCAGAGTCAAAATCGTTTAAAAAGATTTCCAAATGATTATTTTTGAGGTTATGTTCAAGTTCAACACATTTTGCAGTGTTTCTTGGCATCAAAGTTCCAGAATAACGATGTTGATTGCTTGCAAATGTCTAATTATGCCAATGACAGTTGATCTTTTTAATTTCAACACAAGAATTGATGTTGTATAATGCGAATTATTTAATAAATTCATTACATAACCTCAAAAAGGATTTTAATTATTGTATCTACGTAAAATATCAAAAGAATTCCACAGAATTAGGATAATTTCTCAGTAAAAGAAGCAAAGAACATTACCACTTCCTAATAATTTCCGTTCAGCTGTACACCACTTCCCACCATATTATCTCCCCCTTGCGAAATTTAAGGAAGAGCGCATTGTGAAATTCTCAAGTTCAGAAAGTATATAAATACCGTTGATTGTGGAAGTTCGTCAAACAAAAAGGTCCTTTAAGACGTCTTCATAGTTAAGCGTTTACAGAATATATGTCACTGGGGTAAAATACGCGTAGATATTTGTGAATATATATTTTTTTAATTCTTTTCTTCTTCCTGGAAAACAAATTTATTTTTCCAGTCAAACAAAAACACAAATAAAGACCGCATTTCTTGATAGACTTCTTCGGAAGTATAATTTCTTGGCGAATTCTGTGTAAACTGGTTGATATCTCTTGACTTTGGGATTAAAGATCGCGATGAAGAAGTGTGAGCAAAAGTTCTGCAATTTCACATCCTAAGTCAAGTCTTAAGTTGTGCTGCGGAAAAATGTTCCCCCGAAACCTCAGCATTGCCCAGATAAGAGCAGCTCTGATGCACAATATGACGTGGAAGCTCACGGGCTTAAGTCAACATCATCGAAACTGGCAAGAATGAACGTGAAAGTGAGATAAGGAGCTCACGAATTTGTTCCAAATTCACCATGATTGATCTGTGACGGGAGAAGTAGTAAATTTGGATTACGGGGTGAAGTGGAAAATTGTTGTCAGTTCCCCAGTGGAATTCCCTGAAATGGCAAAAGGATGTCTATTTGAATAATTCCCAACACTTACTATTCGCATGGGCGGAACCTGTGCAGCAAAACGTTCAATGTCTGTGCAAAAATTACTCCATGGTGAAATCTTCAGCAGCACGGAGTGTATTTAGGAGGTTCTTTTCTATTTTTCTCCGGTGTCAGAGGAGGAAAAGGGGGATAAGAAGAATAAATGGAGAGAAGCTTTACATGATTGTGGTAAATTTCTCGAGTAAAATGATAAATAATTTCACTTGAGAGTCCTATTATGCAGATAAAGAAGTGAAAAAAAGAAGGAAGACCAAAATAGGAGAGAAATAGCGAAGCTCTTCTCACACACACACATTTTCTATCCAAAAAATATTTACACATTTCATATCCCCAACCCGAAATGAAAGGGCGAGAGAATCGTAAAATATTATGGGATTCTGCACAATGTTGAGAATTGAATGCGTTTGTTGAATGATATAAAAGTTTGGTGTATTTTTTCTGCCCCACCATTTCTTGTCGCTCTCTGTGCATGAATAAAAAAGGCACATTCAGTGAAATTGTTTTGCAAATTAAATGAAAACTTTTTCAATGGAAGCCAAGTTTTTGGTCTCTCTTTTTTTTTCATCCTCCACTTTTTACCGCCTCGCTCACATTATTCTATATATCTTCTTGCTTCTCCAGAGGCCTAAATGCAGTGGTGCTTCTGGCCTATTGAAGGTTATGCTTTTCTTAGACTTCCAGAGGAAAATATCCTTCCCAAATTGAGACAAAATACAATTGCCGTCTCGACTCCCACTGTGAACATTCTTTAGCCTCTGTGTTGCTCCTTTTCTGTCGATGACGAAGGAAATTATTTAGCCTCTATTTCATCTCAGACATCTCCTCCAGACATACAAGCAACCACCCTCCTCCCAGGGGGTTGCTGCCTAATCCTGCCGACTCCCCGATACGGCAGATTCTGGCACAATCGATCCGGGCAGAGAGATAAAATTAGAATTCTACTTGACGTCTTAATAATTTCATTAAACATTTCTGACATTTATCTATTGCTTCTTCTTCCGCGTCTGCCTAAAAGTTTATCCCCGAAGCAAATTCAATTAAATTTGAGGTTTTTTTTGTGTATACTCTTGCCATGGGATAAAAATAACTCCAAGTTGAATCACTTTGTGGGCAACACAAGGAGGAAATTCCTTGCCTACATCTTCACCATTCATGCATGTCTTGCGCTTGAAATTTCCACCCCTTCCTCTCATGTCTACATGAATTTCATCACAATGAGCATGGGTTATTTTTTTTCACGATAAAAAATAGCACATGTGAGCTGAGAAGAGAGTAAATATGTAGACCGACTTTGCGATTGTATAGAGAATTACAAAAGAGGCACTTGTAGAGCTTTCAAAAGCTCATGTACATAATTATACATAAAAGACTCTCTTCTATTGCTCAGAGTATGAAGGATTTTAGATCGAACAGAATGCAAAATATTCAAATTCTGTAGTCTTCTTTAAAAATATGGGCATTTTCTCAACGAGGATTTTATATTAATTGCCTATTTATAAGTAAAAAAAGCAAAGGAAAGATCACTTGCGATTGCAGACCATTAATTTTGTGATTATTCAATCATTTCTTGATTTTTCATTATTTTTATGTCAAAAACTGTGAGTAAAAATAAAAAAAGATAGAAAATTATCCAAAAATACGATATTATTAGCGTCCCCCACGCCAACTTGACTGCCCTCTGACGGCAATATTCTAAATTTGATTATTTTTCAATATTTTTCGGGAAAATGATCTTTTTTCTTGTTTTTTTTTCAAATATTGAGTAATAAAATAGCCAATTAGCTGCAAAAAATAGATCTTATAAATTGGCACAGATAGAATGTCTAAAGCATTTCAGTATTTTCAAAATTTTCGTAGGTAAATTAATCCTTCAACTCAAGTGCATTCATTTCTGGAGCACATTCTGTGGGGAAAATGTGGAAAAGGAGGCCAGCGATGTGGTCATAATTAATAGAAAAGTGATATAATTAAACTTGCTGGCGGAGGCGAAACGAAAATGGTACAACTTTTCATAGTTTAATTCGCTTCTTTGATTGTCGTGTGTGGAAAGTGGAAAGTGTGCGCGGTAGAGAGGCAAAGCGTGGGCTCAAGTGGGTGGAAAGGCCTGGACGGGAGTGAAGTTGGATGACTGAGTGTGGCTGAAGAGCACAAAATGTGAAATGAGAAGCTTCTGCATCAACTTTTGCCCCTCTGTCCAGCGGTGCGCCATAGTTCAGCTCTTTTTGGCGTCCCGGCCGAGCACATATATACTGTGAGTCCTGCCAGAGCTGTACACAGTCAGGCTCTCGCACTTATTCGACCCTGCTCCATGCCATACTTTCATTATCCTTTCTATGCCCCACACAATGATATCACATTTTACGCTCGGAAGATAATTTCTGAAATTCATCCTCACTGACCACTGTTTGCCTCCTTCCACACGGCTCGCAAATACCTCCTTCATAGGGAGCATATGGATGCCCCTCTTGAAGTACCACGTGAAACTGAAACCGTGGCTCTTTTTGAGCAGGGTTTGTGTTGAAAGCTAAGAAGAAAATTAGTGAATTAAGCTGCGAGCATTTAATATAATGTACACCATATTTTAATTACAATTAATTGCCCAGGAAGAGTTTAGCAACAAATTCAGTGCTATCGTATTTAGTGTTACGTGATATTTCAATTATCTTCCTTTTAGGATTTCGAAGAATCCC